TCAGTGTCAGGGAATCTGTTCTGTCTTTTGATCTGTTCTGAAATGATATGATTTTCGATTTCCATATGATATAAGTCGATCTGATTTGTATGATTATGATTCTGATACAATTCTGACGCGCTTCTGTTATGTTCTGATCTGTTCTGATACGATCCGATGCTGATTTTCCGTACGATTTTGTCTGTTCTGATATGAATGCTGATCTGATATGATTTAATTTGATTTTTGATTTTGGTACGTTCTGTCAGTTCTGATATGATGTATTTATGTTCTGTTCTGATTTGATTTGATTTGTACGATTCTGTTCCGATTTCTGTATGGATTTCTGTTAGATGTGTTTTATGTGGACTCTGAGGATTTTGATTGGAGGTTTGTTGTCTTGCTAAGCTGTTGTAGCTCATCCTTATTTTTTGCGTGGTTTTCAGGTTCTGGGAAGGGGAAGGAAGTCCAGGAATATAAGTTCAGAGTCTGATTCCGTATAGGTATTTTTGTCCTTTTGATTTTTGTACAGTCATGGCTTTTCTGTTCTGCTTTTCTTTCTGTCTGAAAGCCATGAGCTGTATTTGTACATGATTCTTTTGAGAAAGAAAAAGATAGATGATCTGTTCTGATGCATTTGATGTTTATAGTAGCTCCGTGCGTCTGTTTTTGTCTATATGTTTGGAAGAAAGTTCTGAAACAAATTCCAAAGCCAGATCCTGGAATTAGTTCAGTCAGTCTGAAAGTTCAGGCCTCACGACCCGATGCGAGCGGGATCCGTCCCGGTCGGGTTGGGTCGTGACATTTAGGGTTCCCAGTTGGCTAAGGTATTTATCCTTTGTTAGCAAGAATAGGTGTTGCATATTTTAGTCAAGTTGAATGCGATCATTATGTTGTGTAGGACAAGAAATGACAAGGTTGTATGTATGAGTTACTATAGTCCCTATGGTTCACTTAGTTAAGGTAGGTTGGCTGACACATATGCAACATAAACAACTCCATGCTTAGGTTTAGTGCATGGATTAGGGCTCACTAAGTTAGTGTTATAAGCATAACATGGGTTCAATGAAATTGAGTGTTATGATATCTTAATACGTGAGATAGTGGATGCTCAACTAATAAATCAAGTTTAATGTATGACTAAGACTAAGTTGTTTATGGTCAATATAAAAAATTGGATTCAGTTGTTAGAGCTCACTACAACAGGTTTTACATCGGATTTATTTTAAATACCGCCAAACGATTTTCGAAGGCATCATAAATCACGGATTTATGAATTTATGGTGTAAATCTAGGATTTAGTAAATCACGTTCTTCAATGGATTTACGGATTTATAGACTTGGATTTAGTTGATGAGGCGCGCGAAAAGGGAGAAATTAAATGTCGTTACCTTCGTGACCAACTTTTGTTGCAACTTCTGATTCGATAAGAACAATGTCTTCGAAGGATGTGGAGATGCTTTGATACTTGCATAACTCAGCGTTACGCGAAGCAGAACAACATATGAATAAATGCATAAGAGGTAATGATAGGTGACTCGTTCGAATCTGTATCTCAAGCAAACCAACATAGCCTCTATGACTCTTCCTCGCGCAAACCAGCGAAGACTCTACCTCATGCAAAAAGCAATGAAGAAATATGAAGTGGACTTTTTGAAAAAAAGAAAAAGAAAGAGGAAAGTATTTTAGGATTAATTTTTACTTTTTAATTAGATAATACTTAATTAGTTTAATTAATATGATAAATAGTAGTATAATTATAATTACAAATTCATTTAATTCATATTTATAATTGGTTGGTTATTATTTATTAGTACCACAATTGTTATTAAATTAGTTTAATACATATATGTTTAATTAATTTGGGTTTAGTTAAGCTAGCTTCTTATTTGATAATTAACATCTAAATAGCTTATTTGATAATTAATAATAATAAACTAATTTATAATTATATTAATCCTAAACTTATTAAATATAATTAAAATTAAAGTTGATAAGTAAATCATTCTTAACTAGCAAATAAAATTCAAAACACATTAAACTTAATTTCTAAATAAATAAATCATTTTAAATCTTCGATTACATTCTCAAATAATTTCTCAAAGTTTATTAGAATTTAGCATATGTGGTACCAAATAATTTTTGAAATTTAAGTATTTAACCCCTCCAAATTTACTAAATCAAATTTATAGAATTTATTAAATTCCAATTAATTAAATCCAACCCTATACCAAACAGCCACTTAGTTTTACCCGCCGAGGCTTCGAGCCAATCACGGCTATTAAATATCTCATAAATCATAAGCAAAATAAAAACAAGGAAAGTAGAAGAATGAGTTCTCTCGCTTCCTTCGACCCACTCTAAGCTCTATTCGCCTTCCTCTGGCTGAAAAATAACCAGAGGCAGCGAGGGTCCCCAATGGCGCTGAGCCGTTTCCAGCTCCTTAAACCCCCGCATACTTCAGTGTCAACCGTTTCTCTCTTTCCAAGACTCCCCTCGTCCTGCTCTTCCTGTCCGAGGAGCAGACAACGGCCTTCTACTAGCCGCCGCCTCTGCATTCCATCTTCTAACCCGCCAATCCAGGTACGTTCTCGCCCTTCTCCTGCTTTCATTCCTCTGCTTCTTTCTCCTTTCTCCTCGACTTATTATGACGACCGCAGGACTCAATTAACGGGGAAACATCTTCCTCCACCATAGTAGATGGCCTTCTGGATTTCCTAAATGAGTCTTGGACGCAGTTTCACGCCACCGGTGAGAGATGCATCTATTTGTTATCCATGTTAGATTATTATTTTGATGTTAGGGTAGTTTATAACGTGCAATATAGTTGCAATTTGTTCTATTTACAGCTGAAGCTAAGAGGCAGTTGATTGCTGCGGGTTTCCAGCTTCTGAATGAGAGTAGTGACTGGAACCTGCAGCCAGGTGGCCGATATTTCTTCACGAGGAATATGTCTTGTTTGATTGCCTTTGCCGTTGGAGAGAAGTGAGTGATTTGCTTTTCTTTTTTTAACGGTGATGCTCATATGTTATATGGCTCTTCTGGCACATAACTTTGGGTTCGTTTATAGTTCGTAAATATTTTCTTGCAGTTAGGATTGGACATTCCGCTCATGATTTTCAGTAAAAATTCTGATTAAGTACTATGGATGTCTAGCAATACAAGTAGTTTGAAGTTATAGAGACTTTAGTTATAATACTACTAAAATCAGTTTTGAAGAAGTGATGCCTTATTTGAAATGATGGTAAGTGCCATGATTCTATTTCAACAGGAAAGAGAGTTCTGGTTTCTAGAAGCATTTTTTTCTATTAATGTATACATTAAGTCTTTATGATGATGAGTTGAAAAATGATTCCGCAGTGGCATATAGCAGAGCAGGCCCAACTAAAACATCAGGAAGAATCGATGCTTAGGATTTAGGTTTAAAATTGAAGGTATCATTTTAATGAAAAGTATATCTTCTTTCTAATTCAATTATAAATGTATTTATACAAAGGGTGCAAGTAGACTGCTAAGTGATCTCTTTTCAGATAAAGGTTTCATTTGGGACAAAGCAGGGTGCAAGTAGACTGCTAAGTGATCTCTTTTCAGATAAAGGTTTCATTTGGGACGGCTTTGTTACTCCTTAAAGCAACTAACAATTTTTTTTACTAGAATGCTGCTTTAAGGAGTAAAAAAGCCATCCCAAATGAAGCCCAAGTATCCGAATCTCGGTCGGATTTATTTAGTCTTAAACCAATTGGATTAGGATTATTATTTTAATTTATAGCACATTCTATGATCTGTCTAACTGCATCTCCTTGCTGTTGAACTCATTATCATGTTGGATCCATAAGAGTCATAATCATATCACTTATTTTCTATTTTTCTTTCAGTGGTTCAGAATGTTCACTTAGCTCCTTTTTTAGAATTTTAGAGTGAAAGCCTCTTTTAAATATCACCTCCTTTGCTATCTCTTGTTTATTAACGGTAACATGATTTACATGCCTTCTTTGGGATTTGCACCTTAAGGATGATTGAAAATATGTTACTCATCATCAACTATGTGTAATAGGCTGCATATTTCTCATCATTCACATTATCATCATCTTCAATTTATCCAAATTATTTGAGATCAGTGTTTTTATTCCTTCTAACCATTCATCTTGATTTGGAGATGCATTGTTAATTCTAGAGTAGCTAAATCTTTTTGCTTAATACTAGTCCACTTCATGTTAGAACTCTATCTTGTCAATGCTTCCTATTTTCTCCATGATATGTTGAATTCGTTTTTATATATGTTGTGTTCCTTTTTCTCAGTAGTTTGCAGCCTTATTCTTTCTATGACATACTCATTATGCATTTTTCCTATAGTCCTAAGATATTTTGAAGATGACCAAAGAAAAAAAGTGTTTTTAAATTTTAGCTGAGCCCCGGAAAAATAAAATTTTTCATGATTGTGATTATAATTGCAAAAATAGTACAAGCATGGTTCTCAAATTGAATGTTTTGAGGATCAAGAATAGAGGGAATAGAGGCTACTTACTTCTGCGGATGACAAAAAAAAAGAAGGTTCTAATTGTAAGGAAAATTTTGGAATAATTTGATGATGGACCGGCCGGTTTGATTGATAAGAAATTATGAAGTTTCCTAATCAAGATGAAGCTATTTAGGAAGGTTCTTAATCAAAGGGGAATTATTTAGGAAAAATTTAATTACAATTAAGAGGGAATTATTTAGGGCAAGAGATCTAATTTGAATTCAAAATCTAAGAGGGGATTATTTAGGGAAAAGGAAGAGAAATTAATGGGGAATTGTATAGGAAAGTTTTAATTATAATTGGAAGGTAATTATTTTGGAAAAGGGGGCTGATTTAGGAGGGAATTAAGGGAGCCTATTTCAGGCAAACATTAGGGTGATTTCAGGAGTATGCTTTGAGTTTGTTGAAATTCGAATTTCTTAGGTTGTGAGTGCTCTAGCCGCCAGCTAGGGATTATCTTGTTGTTTTCTTTCATATATCTTGCAATAAGAAGAGTTTTGGTGTATTATTCTTCGTAATTTCTTATAGTTGTTCACTGATTTCGCGGAAATATATCTATTTTATATCAAATTGGTATCAGAGCATTTTTTTGGTACTTATGGTGGCAAAGACTATGTGTTGGAAGGCAAAGTGGACCAAATCAAATCCCAGTTGGTGGAGAAGTTCTCAACCATCGAAGGATCGCTTTCATCCTTGGAAGTAAGACTTTCTAACCTAGAGGACATGATGAAAAAATATTGGAGTTTTACACTCAACCGATAATATTGGAGACAAGGGCACCGTTGATTGGACAAGGAAGTGGGGGAAAACCTAATATAGGGATGATGAGGGAGGATGGGGAGGTGGAAATGTTGGGGAAAGAAGAGGAGATGTAACATTTGGAGCTACTTCCAAGGAGGGGAAAAGGTGGAGTGAGATTTTTGGTGGAGCTACAAAGTTTGGAAGGAGAAGAGATGAGGAGAAGATAGAAGCACCATACATGATTCAACCACTCCTACAACAATATTGAGAGAAGTTCCAACCAGTTCAGGGGTTACCTCCATGGGAACTCTAGCGTGCTATCATTTTGAAGGAAGGAGTTTTACATATCAGTGTTTATCCGTACCGTTCTCCCAAAATCCAGAAAGATGAGATTGATAGATTATCTGGAAGATGCTGGAGGCAGGGATCATTCGACCTAGTGACAATCAATTTTTAGTTCAGTGCTTCAGCAAAAGTTTACTTCGTCCACATTGAGGACAAGTTGACACTTTGGGAGGGGAGTATTGATGGACTGGACGATTTGATTGGGAGGGAATTAGGAAGTTTCATAATTAAGAGGAAGTTATTTAGTAAGGTTCTTAATCAAAGGGGAATTATTTAGAAATTTTTTAATTACAATTAGGAGGGAATTATATAAGACAAGAGATTTAATTTGAATTCAAAATTTATGAGGGGATTATTTAGGGAAAGGGAGGATGAATGAAGGGGGAATTGTTTAGGAAAATTTTAATTATAATTGGAAGAGAATTATTTAAGGCAAGAGATATGATTTGAATTTAAATATGAGAGGGAATTATTTAGGGAAAAGGGCATAGGAGGGAATTAAGGGAGCCTATTTAAGGCTAACAAAAGGTGATTTTAGGAGTATGTTTTGAGTTTGCTGAAATTAGAATTTCTTAAGTTGTGAGGGCTCTAGCCGCTGGCTACGGATTTGGGAGAGTCGCATCTTCCTCTTCAATTGAAAATCCAACTGTATCTTGCTGTTTTCTTTCATGTATCTTGCAATAAGAAGAGTTTTGGTGTATTCTTCTTCCTAATTTCTTATTGTTGTTCGCTGGTTTTGAGGAAATTGTATCTATTTCCTATTATTTGATTGGTCAAAAGAGGTAGATATGGAAGTTCTATGAGAATCTTGTCATGTCATTCATATGGAGTGAAGAATTTGGTGATGTTTAGGTTGAGAATTTTGTGCTTATTATGAGAGAGCAATAAATTTATTCAAGCACACCTTTTGCAATCCTTGGATACAGCTGCCGTGACACTTTAAATGTTGGAGTTATTTGAGTCTTGGTACAACCATCTGCTTTGTTATGTTCTTCATGTTATGCTGGTGATTTTGATTCATATGCCCCATAATGATGTTGGATGTTGCAGGATATAGGCTTTTTAATGTAATTCTAACATAGGTTTAGTATTATGATAAAATGCAATTCTTGCTGAAACGTCTTTGACAATAATTATTTTCTAATCTAAATCTAACTTAAATTAGATGCAACGTTGAAGTGCAATTCTTGCTTAAGGAAAATTCTCTTTCATAACAACGATTTTCTAATAACAATCATTTAATAGAAAATTGATGAAATCCAATATCAATGATAGGATTTTGGCGTTCGTAATAGAAATTAACTATAATGAATATAGACCTTATAATACCTAATAATAGTACAATCAATTAGTATTTGATGCTCAAAAAAGAATATGGGGATTTGCAATAGATTTGGATAATAACAATCTTGTTTTCTAATCAATCATGAAATAAAAAAAGAAATAGAAGGAGAAATAAGAAGAAAATAAAAAACTATGTGGTGAAGAAGATCACCATACACTTGAACAATGCGATACTGATCTTGCCTACATTTTTAAGTGTCGCACTTGATCAACAACATCCTGGAGGATGAGGACGAAGGGCCTTTCACATCTAAACTAAGGTTCTTAGCCTTCCCATCATTTTTTTTTTGCATAAATTTGAACATATATATTTAAAACTGGACTACACAGAAGTCCTCAACATAAAAGATGGCTCATCCAATAGAATTGTAGGATATTCCACAATTCCCATCAACCCCAATATCAAAGTTCACCGTAAACATATTCAAATTCATCCTTGATACATGATCTTGTAAAATAGGATTCCGTTATTCCTGATAATGCACCCAATAGAGGGCTTGAGAATCCTATGGAATATAGGACTCTAGAATTTTGTAAAACAGAAGACCCCAAAAATCCCTCAAGACTGGATGAAAGTTTCCATGGATCCCATTCTTTGTTCAAGGATACCTTGCTCAATGGAGATTTAAATACATACTCCAAATGGATTTTCTAAGCTTTGCAATTTGAAATACCAAAGCTAGACACACACAAGCATTGTGCTTTGGACAATGATAGTAAACTCGAGCTCCTCATTGATGAGTGGTTTCTTTGTTGCATTTTTTGTCAAATTTCTTTGATAAGTTGGCTAAAAATAGCACATCAAATATCCTTTTTGATATGTCCTGACAATTGCTAATTTACTTGTGTTTAATCTTAACTACATTTTTTTGAAAATAAATAGAAATTTATTTTTCTGCAAGTGTACTGGACCTTTGCCTCTATTTGCAGGTATAGGGTTGGCAATGGGATTCATGTTATAGCCGCACACACAGATAGTCCATGTTTAAAACTTAAACCAAGGACTGCATCTTCAAAATCTGATTACCTTATGGTGAATGTACAGACTTACGGGGCTGGCTTATGGCATACATGGTTTGATAGAGATCTCAGTGTTGCTGGAAGAGTTATCTTAAAGGCTGGAGATGGTTCTTTCACACATACACTTGTAAAAGTGAAAAGACCTATTTTGCGTGTACCAACACTGGCCATACACCTTGACCGGTTTGTGTTTTGACAACCAAATTTCTCAGTACATTGTACATTTCAATATTCTGTTCTTTATCAAGTTGATAAACCTGGATTAAAGATATACATGATATAGTGTTGCAGAGAACTTGAATATCCTTTTGCTATTAATGAATCATTCAAATATGCCTTTTCCCTGAATTGCCATGTAAATGTTGGTGAGCAAACAATGTTACCTGAAAATTATGGTGATTTTTCTACAATAAGAATTGAAAGAACGACAGAGTGCAAAACAAATATTATTTTAAATTTTAATGCCCGGTTAAGTTGCTAACAAATTCACAAGATTTTTACACATTGATTTATTAATATCATGTCCCGTGAACTAAAGAATTTTTTTTTTTTAATTTCATTCGTGAAAAGAAACAATTATGCTTCTGTGATTGTAAATATCAAACTCTTGAATGTTTTTAGCTATGAAATATTATGATAGCTGACAACCATTCATAGATTGTTTCAACGTACCAGGATTTCATGATCTCCAATGGTTCTGTAGTGGTTTCCGACTGCTCTCAAGGGTTGTAGGAACTCACACTGCCAGACTATCTAGACTTTGTCTATGAAATGTTATTATACCTGCATAATTTGTTTCAACGTACCATGATTTAATGTTTTCTAGTAGGTTCGCCAGTTGTTGCTAATTGTCCTCTAGGGTTCTAGGAGCTCACACTGCTTGACTATTTAGCTGTTTGCTACAAAATATTATGATAGCTGACCACTATTTCTGCATAGTTTGTTTCAACTTAACATGATTTAATGGTCTCCAATAGATTCTGTTGTCGTTGCTTATTGGCCTATTATAAGGTTTTTGAAACTCACTAACTTACTAACAACTTTTGCTTATAGGTGCTCCTTTAAATGTGAAAGTCCTAAGCAGGCATGGCCAATACAAGCTTAAATTAACTTGACACCAATCACACCATTAATGACAGGCAATCTATGAATGCTTGATTTGTGAATCTTTTACATATATAATTCTTTTTTTCAAAGAATATAATTTTTTTATTAGAAAGTTACGTAAGCCTGTGGGGTATAATAAATAATAGATGAAGTGATGAACAATAATGATGAATCTGGAAATCAAACCTTGGATGCATCAGAAGCTGAATATTCAAGACTTATAGGCTGAGTCCATAGATTTAGGTTGGTTTAGTAATATATTTTCCCTTCTGTCACTCTTTATTTATCTAACAAAAGAATCGTTGCTCTAAGGGGACTATTCCCTTGAAAGAACTTTAATAACTTGGCTATATCATGACTGCTCGCCTGGAAAGAAAGAAGGGGGGAGAAGAACCTTCTTGTGGGATGTTATCCCCTTGAGTGAGTAATGATGACCTTTTTACCGTGGGCAGCTGGAAGCCCGGTGCAGTCTGGGTGGTTCGAGAGGGGCACTGGGATACTTTTATGCTCTAATTGTATTATGGACCAATCTATGCTTGACCTTTCTTATATTTATTTTGGTTGATTTTTCTGTGATGATTGTGTCTTTATTTCTGGTGTGCTCTAAAAATTGTATATTTTTTCTTAGATCTCTTCATATACTTTGCTTGGGGTGAACTGAACTTGCTGTATGACAAGCTATTAGAAGGAAATTTTCTACCCATTAAAATATAAACAATAGTAAAATCAATTGTTGGGCAATACTTTCATATAAAACTTACATAGCTTATAAAAAACATAAGTTAAAATTTTGTTAGATTTGTCTTTCCTCGACCGGTCCAGCCGGCAGTTGTATATAGTAGGGGGGAAGTCCAGCCCGCCTGCAATTATCCAACCGCCTCCGCCAAATTTGAAAGAGGAGGGGGAGGTTATTATTATGAAAAAGTATGTGTTAAATAGAAGAACGGGGGGTTCCAAGGGTTTTGGGATATTATTATGAAAAGTATGTGTTAAATAGAGGATTCCAAGGGTTCAGTTTTCGGGAGGGTTGTGTTTGCTGAAATTAGGTATTCTTAGGTTGTGAGGGCTCTAGTCGGCGGCGGGAATTTGGTAAACCTGCTGGGATCTTCCTCTCCAATTGAATCCAACTATATCTTGCTATTTTCTTTCATATTTCTTGCAATAAAAAGTTCCCTGGTGTTCTTCCCAATTCTTCTTGTTGTTCACTTATTTGTTGGAAATTATCTATTTTCAAATTTCAAGTCTGAAGTAAAATTCAAAGACTTATGGATCTTAGTATGCAATTTAGTATTTGATTGATTGTTTATCTACGTGGATGTGCTCATCAAAATCAATATCAAACCAACTCTCTTAGCTGATGAACATTATATGCAGTCTTATGTGTCACATATAGAATTAAAAATCCTCACATTAAGGACTAGGAAGCTAAAGAAAACTTGCATTAGTAGTCAACATACATACCCTTATGATTCACATAAAGAAATTAAAATCCTCACATTAAGTACTAAATTAAAGAAAGCTTACATTGGTTGTCAACATATATACCATTATGGTCTGGTATTTAAATTAAACAGATAAGCTGTAAATTCTCATTACTAAAATCAAAACAGCTTCAAATATTTTGAATATGCATTGAGATTAGGGAAGCAAAATTGTGACACAAGATGTTGGGTTGACTGAACCTCTAGTGAGATTTTAAATTTGTAGTCTCATGCATCTATTAGATTTTAATGATTCTCACCTTATATCAATGATCCGATGCTAGTGTTCGTTTCAATTACATCATAAGTCCACACATTTTAGCCATTTTTTTAATCTTGTGTTGTTGGAGTGTAGCCCCAACATTTTAAATAAAATGTAAACTTAAACATAAATTCATCTCAAAATACAAAACTCAACATATTATAATATTGAGTACATATGAGTTTCTCAAAAAATACGTACTTCCCTTTCTGCTTTTGGTTGATCTATCTTTTGAATTTCAAGTTCAAATCATTCAAATCACAATTTTTAAAATTGAGTTAGCTAATATTTTGATTAAGAGAATATAAACCAATATTTTAATCAAAAGCTTTATCAAAGTCAAAACATTTCTGAGATGTAATTAACTATAAGATTTTGCTTTATGGGGAACCTATATCTCAGAAATAAATAAGCTCTATTTAATCAAATATATTGAGTAGGATAATATCTCATGACATATAAAGATAAAAATATTATTTTGTCATTCAATGAATGGCCAAATTATATTTTATGTCAATCATAAAATATTTTAGATATGTTTATGAAAAAATTCCCATGGAATTAGAACAAAGATATAGTATATGATATACAATTTTAATGCGTGTGATATTAATAATAACCAATAAGATAATTAAACGGTAATGTGATATTTATGTGTGATAGATTTAAATATCTAGGACATATTATATATAATGATGAGATATGTATGAGGATATATTTAGAGTTAAGTTTGATGGTTAAAATAGAGAAGTGCCTCAAGAGGACAATGCGATATGAGGATTTCATTAAGACTTAAAGATAAATTTGTTATAATTAGGCTTATGATGTTATATATATTCTATTGTTGTGTAATAAAAAAGTTCCTGATATCTAATTTGGGTGTGGTAAAAATTGGAATGTTAAGATTGATGTGTGGAAAAATTAGGATGAGTAAGAAATGTTTGTAGTGGCTTTTATTGAAGATAAGATAATTAAAAATATTCTTAGGTGGTTTGGATATATACAATGGAGGGTAGGAAATTCCCTCATTAAAGAGTAGATACGATATGTATTAGAAAATTAGGAAGAAGGGTAGACCTAATGTAACATTGGATAAACGTTCAAAATGATTTGTGAATAGTATGTTTAACCCCTTAGGCAATACTCACCTTGAACAAATAAAAAATGAGAATTCATAAAGCTAATCCCGTATAGTTTGTATAATGCTAATGACGATGAATCTAAATTAACACTTCCAGTATGTTGTTTTCTCTGTTGTTTCTTTTGATTATTCATTCATTCCATATTCTTGATTTTTTCCTACTAAGAAGTTTCTTTTGTGGCTCATTTTGATAATTAATCCCAGCTGCTTTAGCTTAAGGTAATCCTTTCTGAATTTATATGTTAATTACTAACTTTAATTTTAATGTAGCTCAGTGAACACTGATGGCTTTAAGCCCAATTTAGAAAGCCATCTTGTTCCTTTGCTTGCAATGAAGCTCAAAGAAGAGTCTGCAGACGGATCTATTCAACCATGCTCTTCAAAAGCTACTCACCATTCATTGCTTTTGGAGGTATCCGTCACTACCATGTCATTAGACTCTTTGGCTTAAGAATTCTATGCTTAATGTGGACTAAAAAATGTTATAGTTGTAACCTGAAGATGAATGACTAATAAAATCTCTTGATTTGTGCTGATCTATATTGTTGGAGTTGTTTGTCAATTTATTTGGGTTTCAATTACTCAATTGGTTAGTATACTTTTTTGCAGGTTCTGGCTAAGGAACTTGATTGCAAAGTCAATGAAATAATGGGCATAGAGCTAAATGTTTGTGATACTCAACCTAGCTGTCTCGGAGGTGGTAAAAATGAATTTATATTCTCTGGGAGACTTGATAATCTTGCTTCTTCTTATTGCGCGCTCAGATCACTGGTGGATACATGCAAATCGCCAAGTGATTTGGCAGATGAGACAGCAATAAGAATGGTTGCATTATTCGACAATGAAGAAGTAATTCTCTATATCCATATTTGTGCATTCAAAATGATTCATCTGTTTTGAAAATCAATAGTTTTAGGCTGCAAAATTTTTCCGCATAATTTGATGCACAATGCCATTTATTGCCTACTTTTAGTTGACTACACAAATAGGTATATATCTTTGTTTTTTTTTTTGTTATACCTTTGCAGTTAGTTGCCTATTCAAACTTAAATGTCAAACTGTCCATCCAAGATGGGCATCATTCAATGTAAAAGCATGTACATCTTTTAAACTTTTAAAGCATGAAAAAGGGTTTTAGTCATGAAGAAGCCTTGACTATCGTGTACTCAAAGGTCCTGTCTTGACCTGGGCCAAACGCTTGAATTAACAATGCAAAGAACAAACGGTTGGACGGTCATTAAATTTAGTTTGCCAAAATTTTTAATATTAATTATTTTCAATATACTGAAAGAGCCGCTATAAATTCCAAAAGCATTTTAATAAAAAGTACTATAACTACTTTAACAAATACCCTATGATGCACGGACACGGACACGACGACACGGACATGACACGACACGGGACACGGCTTTTTTAGAAAATATAGGACACGGTTACGGCGCTGACACGGCAATACATTTTTTTATATAGTGTATATATATTAATGTAATATTATATTAAAAATGACAAATAATAATAAATGAATGACATGATAACTTGTCTATCTTATAATATAAAATATCTAGTACAACCATAAAAATATAAGCAAATAATCACCTACTACAACATCAAGCATTCAAGCTTCAACTACTAGGATTAGCTTTAGAGATTTGTTTTTTGCCTTCATATTATCATCATTGAATATCACTGCTTTCAACTCTGGTTCAACAAGAGAAAGATTTATAATTGTGCAAAAAGAGAGGAGATGAAAATATCTTCACTGCCAAAGAGAGGAGACACGTGTCGGAGGAGTGTCGGACGAGTGTCGTGTCAGACACGGTGTCGGACACTGCACGCCTCTTTGAGGAGAAGTGTCGGTGCATCATAGCAAATACCTTTCTCTCAAAGCGTCGCGTTTACAATATACGTTCACTTTTTTTCCACTCATTTAAATTCTTTGGATAATACCTATGTGTACATTTGCTATAATAAGAGTGAGTTATAATATAACTCAACGAGCATAATATTTCAAAATTGTAGTAACATAATAGATTTTGGGACAATATGCATAATGTCTTTCATATATAAATTAAAAGAATTCTATTATAATTAATTTTGGGAAGTGACCATGATTATTTATTATGCATAGCTAATACTCATAGCATGACTTTATCCTTTTCCATAACTAATACATCCGTTAGAGGAGTCACAGTCTAAAATAGTACAAATTAAGACACTTCTATTTTGATTTTCATTTTCTTTTCTATAACATTTTCCGTTTCATGTGCGTGGGTATGTTGTGTCTTAAGTTAGTATCACAAGTGAGTGTACTCCATTAGTCAACATGCACATACAAGGACTTCTATATAAATTATTTTATTTGCATTTTCTATTTCATTTCATGTTATTATGTCATAGCATTATCACGGTAATATGATAGAAAATTCATGTCATTCAAATCAATTTGAATAATTGTTTATAATAGAGATAACTTATGAATAATTTATGGGTAAATATCAATAATAAAGGACACATCAATTTTAGAAGTATCAATGTAATTATCATAAAATAAAAACATGAGTGCTCGTCTCAAATCTAGTTATTTTGTTACTTAACTCTTACTTCGTTGTCGATAGTTGATCACATATATTCATGTATAATTTCGTAAGGTTTTTCTAACGTATATATCTAATAATCTCTCTCTCTATTGAACTCACTTTTTCTATTAAAAAATATCTTTAATTCATTCCTCTTCTATTCAAATATTTAGTTTATTTTAAAAAAAATTATAATAATAGATTAATTAATTAATAATGATAAAATTTATTCTACACCCTCTCTCTCAATATATATATA